CTACTACTACTACCACGACGACTACTACTACTACTACTACTACTACTACTATTGCTACGACTACTACTTCTTCAGGAGGACGACGCTATTGCCACTTCAGTAATGTAATATTACTTGAGGCTTAGCACGGTATCAGAGGACCACTCATACAAGGCTAAAGTACCGCTGCGGCAGCACTGCTGCTACAGTATTGCTGTACGACTTACAACGTCACCACTACAACACTACAGCATTACAGTATTACAGCAGTGTTGTTATACCACGGCATTGGGGTATTCTTATTACAGTAATGTAGTACACTTACTGCAGGCAGTCGCGGAGTACTACTCTTACGAGTACTGGATTCGGGTACTTACGGCTTCTACAGCGCCACCACTGCGATTGCGCAGCACGCTTCCGCAATACGACAGCACTCTTCCTACACCACTAGCACTAAAGCGCTGCAGTTCGGGGATACTACTGGAGTATTCGAGTACTACAGTAGTGGACCACTTCCACTACACGACTACAGTGCGATTGTTAAGGCAAATGCTAACATACGTTCTTTACTGCAAGACCTGAGTACTACCTACTACTACAACTACATGACTACTACAATGCTGCCACATGTTGATGCAATCATACTGCTGCAGTTCTAGAAGGCTGCAGTAGTACAGCATTACGAGTATTACAACACTACCGTACTATTGCCACTACGGCAGTCAGTACTAAAGCATTGCTGCTGCAATACAAGAGTATTTCTACCACCCACTATTGCACGTCTGTTGGTATAGGACTGGAGCAATAGAATACTAGTACGTTGGTGCCCTTCTGCATCCGGGGGCCATGGAAAGGAAGGAGGAAGAGGAAGGATGCGGGCCCTCCCCCTTGTCCCCCCGCCTCTCTTCCCTGTTCCTTCCTGGGTCTTGGGGCAACGGGGGGGGGAGTGAGGATGGCAACGCAATGCAATCCAGCGCAATGGCAATGCAATGCGCAGCACTGCCCCGCGAGCCCCTTGAGTGCTCCAGAGCACTTCAGGGCGGCCTGGATCCCCGCAGGCCTGTCACGGTTCCCTTGCGGCCAGCGCCGCTGGTGGTGGTCAATTGGTAGCGGGGGGAGGGGGGGCAACAACAAGAAATCATTTTGATTGATTTGCCCCCCCCCCTCCCCCCCCTTCCCTGCCGAACATTATCAGCCATCTCAGGACTAGAGCTTGTTTTTTTATTGCTCGGACCCGTAACGCCCGTTACGGGGGAGGGTCCCCCCCCCCGTAACGGTAACGAGCGTACGGGGACGGGGGTGCGGACCCCCCCCTCCGTCCAGGCAGGCATGCTGTGACGCTCGCATGTGTGCTCAGGTTCGAAGTTCGAGGTTCGAGGTTCGAACCTCGGCGCAAACTCAAAATGGGTCCACGGGGCCCGACTGGGGCTCACACGCACCAGTTTCCCGAGCCGCGTCCAGCCGCGGCGACGACGAAGGCCCTCGAGGGCCAGGATGCCTCGATCCTCGAGGTTCGAGGTTCGCATCCCTCGGCGCGAACCTTTCAACGGGTTCCGGCCTGGCCCCTCCACCTCTTTTGCCTGGCTTCTGCACTCCCTCCAGTTCTCGTGCCCTCCACCTCCTCTCACCTCCTGGGGGGAGGGGGGAGCGAGGCAGAGGGAGGAGGAGGAGGAGGAGGATGAGGAGGACGAAGAGGACGAGGAGGGTTGGAACAGGATCGGAAGAGGAGGTGATGGGGGATCGGAGGAGCGGCATGAGGAGGAGGAGGGGGCAGAAGAGGAGGAGGAGGAGGAGGAGGAGGAGGAGGAGGATGGAGGATCGGAGGGGGATCGGAGGAGGAGGGGGATCATCTTCCTCTGGTCCCTCCGAGCGTCCTCCTCCGATCATCCTTCTCCGATCCTCCTTTCACCTACCCTCCACTTCCTCTCCTGCATTCCCTCCAGCGGGGGGCTTTTCCCTCCCGTTCTGATGCCAGTCCTCACCCGTGCAGAGCCATGAAGGCGGCGGGACTTCTCAGAAGCCCTCTGGCCTTCAGAGAAGCCCTCCGTGTCTTCGGGGGAGGCTTAGACATCTTCTCAGAAGGCCGGAGGCCTTCTGAGCCTTCTCAGAAGGCCCGCCCCCTGTCATTTCCCCCCTCGGCTCGCCGCCAAATCTTGCGGGCAGTGCCAACGGGCACTGCGCTTTAGCACTTGATCGTCGGTGTGGCGCGCCACAGGTGCCACAGAATGGTCGTCGTCATCCCTGCCGCGTCCGTTGTCATTATCCTGCGGGCTGCACCCGGAGTCCCGACGCCCGCCTGCCAGCACGACGTTTCCCCGAACAGTGCGCGCACCAGGAGTTCCGTTGAAACGCAGCGCCACAAAGTGGCCCCGCCTTTGGGGCAACCTGTGGCGCAACCATCGACGCAACCTATGGCACGCTTTGAGGGCGCAACCTAAGGCGCAACGTAAGGCGCGATTTGTGGGGCGCCCTGGGTGCGCAACCTATTGCGCAAGCTATGGCACGCCCTGGGGGCGCATCCTATGGCGCAGCTTACGGCTCAACCTACGCATCGGGCAAGCCATGGCGCAACCAGCCGGTGTACTCCCACAGTATCATTATGACTACTACCACTGTCCTCCCTCCATTCTCCTTGTGCTGGTGCAAGGGGCTGGACTGGGCGAGACCTGCACGCGGATGTGGCCGCATGTCCTTCCAGCGCTCGGCCCTCCTACCTCGCGCGGCTGGTCACGCCAGCCCCCCGCATGTGCATCCAGCAAGTGGGCCCCAAACGCTGCTGAAGCTTTCGGCAACTGGCTGCGGACACGGCGGCGGCGGCGGCGACGGCGACGGCGGCATCGGCGGCGACGACGACGGCGATGACGGCGGCGGCGGTCACCTTCACCGCCGCCGCCGCCGCTTGCCGCCGTCGGCGTCGTCGCCGTCGCCGCCGCCGTCGTCGTCGTCGTCGTCGTCGTCGTGGTCGCCGTCGCCGCCGCCCGTGTCGCCGCCGCCGCCGCCGTCGCCCCCCCGGTCGCCGTCGCAACTGACGGCGACGACGACGACGACGCACCCGCGCGCACGCTCCAGCCGTCGACCCATGTCTCAAGGGCATTGTGCCTGTGCTCCTGCTTCCTGTATTCCCTAGGCTGCCGCCGCCCCGCGCGCCCCCACGGCGCGTGGTTTACACTCCGCACGAAAAAACGTACACAAACTTTGTGGTGCACGCATGCCATGTGGTATACACAGGCGCCACGGTTCACACTCCCATGATGTACACAGTCGCAATGGAGTACACAGGCGCTGTGTGCTCAACAAGTCCGAGCTTTTTTTGAAACAAAAATTACGATCCACAAGCAGCTCACATAATGAAAGGGCCACGGTTGGGCCCCGAGCGATCTTCTGGAGTTTCGTTCCGCCGGTACCTTACAGGTGTACACAAGCTTTGTGGTGTACGCTGGCATTCTGGTGCAAACACGGGGCGTTGAAACAGCAGCTGTGGTGCACGCGGGCGCCGTTGTGTGCACTAACAGTGAGATGTGCAAGGGCGCTGTGGTGCACCCGCCTGTCATGATGTGCTCAGTCGCCGTGGTGCACACACATACCATTTCTGCCGCAATTGTGGTGTACAAAGGCATCGCGGTGTACAGAGCCTGTGTAGTGTGCATAGGCACGGTCGGCTTCGACGACGATGACAGCGGCGACGACGACGACGACGACGAAGCCTACCGTGCCGACAGTTGTGCTGGTAATAAGTACCAGGGCCCGTGCGAGGGCCCCGCCGCGCGTTACCGCTACCCCCAACTTAGGGCCGGACCCCCCCCCTCGTAACGGGCGTTACCCCCCCAATAAAAAAAACAAGCTCCAAGGAGGGGGTTCCCCCTGAAGGGAAGAGGACCGCCGCGCGACACGGAAGAGAGACAGGGAGAAGAAGAGAGAGAGAAGGAGAGAGTGAGGGAGAGAGAGGCAGAGAGAGAAAGAGGAGAGGAGAGGAAGGAGAGAGAAGAGAAATAGAGAGAGAGGGTGGAGGATGATTTGATGAGTTTCGCAGGTGGGCGATTCGCCCCGGAACCCCCTCACATCTTCTTGTTTTCTGCCTTCCTCCCGTGTGCATCATTGCTCGATCTTCCGTTCTCCAGCCTCGACCTACCTCAATTCTCGTCCTCCCTCGTGCCGCCCCCATCCGTTCTTGTCTCTCCTCTCTCCTCTCGTCCACCTTCATTTTCGTCGTCCCTCCTTCCCCTCTCTTTCCTTCCCTCCCTCCCTCCCTCTTCCATCTACAGTCAAACATGATAGTAAGGATGGGCAAGCCTCCCAAGAGTACCCTTGCATCCTCGCCTCCACGGTCCATCCTTCGCCGTTTTCGCTTGCCGCGCCCCGCTCGAAAAGCTTCGAAATGGGCGTCCAAGTCTCTTGCATCCTTATCGCGCATCCTTTCTATACAGGTTGACTGTACGCCCTTCGCTTAGCAACCCTCGTCCCTCATACCCATTATGTATCCTTCCTACCGCGTTTTGTCTGTCACCCATCAAGCACCATCTCCCTTCATTGCCCTCATCATCCCCCGTCTCTCATCCTTCTATGCCTGTCCTACCCTCATCCTTCCTTATCCACATACCCCTCCTCTCCTCCTCCTCCCACCGTCCTTGCGTCTTTCCTCCTCGTCCCCCTACGTACTCGTTTTCCTTCCTCGTCCTCCACATCAGCATTCACTCTTTCTCCCCATGATCCCACATGATATTCCTCCTTGCCCACCCCCCGATCCTCCGTCATCATTCCTCCCGCACGTTCCTCTTCCTGTTCATCTTCCTCATCATCCTTCTTCTCTCATCATCCCGCCTCACCATTCGCACCCTCCTTACTACGTTGTCCTCCACCCTCCACGCCCTCCTGAAACATGGCCCCGGCTGTGAGCTCCTGAGCTCGGGAGGCTAGTAGTCAATCCCACGTCGGTTGGTAGTTCAAGAGCGGCTCGCTCGGGGTGCATTATTGGATTCGTCTCCTGCTAATCTCCCACCCAGCCCGTCCGTTTGAAAAAACAGGTGGGAGGCGTGCGCCATGCAGGCCAAGGTCACGGTGGAACGCATCCTGAGCAGGGCTGCGCCAGCAGGAGGCAGGGTGCGATTCGTGGCCGCATCAAGCATAGGACACGCGTACAACCTCAACGGGCTTTTCGCCGCGTTCGCGGCCGACGCCGAGATCTGCTTACCCGCTGGTGCCTGCCAGCTGGCCCAGACCCTGGCCGAGCCCCCCGCCTGCGGCTGCGAGGCGACGGTGTTGTTCGCCACGCCGCAGGGCTATGGCGCGCTGCTCGAGCACGAGGTGGTCCGCTCGGGCGAGCTCCGCAGCAGGCTCAGAGAACACGCGCTGCCCTTCTACGCCTTCAGCGCCGGCTGCCCGCTGCCCGCCGGCACGGCGGAGGGGGTCGAAGAGTTGCTGGGGGCGCGCGTGATGCAGAACTTCGGCACTTCGGAGGTTGGCGTGATAGCCGCGGAGGAGGTCGACCCTGGAGACTGCGGCCCGCCGTGCAAGCGCCCGCATCTCGCGCAGGAACGCGGGGGGGACGCGAGCGCGGACAAGGGCGTGCCGTGGGGCCAGCTGGAGCTGCGCCCACCAGGCGGGGGCAGGTTGCTGCCGCATGGGGCGGAGGGCGAGGTGGCCATCAGAGTCCCCTGGTGCTCGGACGGTTATCTGGTCAACCAGCGCCTGCTGCCTCACCCCGACGCGCCTTTCGTTCGCACAGGCGACGCGGGTCGCGTTGTCCTGCGGAGTCCGGGCGGCCGGGCGTCGCTCTTCCTGATGCAGAGGTTGTGGGCGCCCCTCGAGGTCCGCAGGGGCGGCTTGCGGCTGCTGCTGCAGGCCTACGAGGCGGGCCCGCCTGAATTCGCAATGAAGGCACGCGGTCCAGAAGGGAGTGCATTGGGTTCTGATGTTTTTGTTTGCCGTTCGTTTGACTTCCAGGGTGTTCCCATGGGCCCCAGAATTGCTGACAACGATATAGGACGACGAGCAAAAAGCTAGTCCTGGGAAGAGGCTCTGGGCTCCAGGAGCCTCATTCCCTTCGTAGTCGGTTTTTGTTATGCGAATGTATCCTCGGTCCTTGAGAAAAGAGGTCGGAGAGGAAGACGGAAGAGAAGCAGCAGCAGCAGTAGGAACAGAGTCAGTAGCAGCGGGCAGGACGCGACGGGAAGCGACGAGGAACATGAGACGCAAGACGAGGAGAAGGACGAGGATGAGGAGGAGGACGACGACGCAGCAGGAGCAGTGATGATCTAGATCACAGCGGGATGCTGCATGTAGAACAGATGCGGGGGAGAGGTACCTTCCGTGCCGAACCCAAACGCGGACGGCCGATTAGGAATGCGAGGGCAGGCTGGAGGCACGCATGCCACCACGGGCCTCTGTTTCGCCAGGTTGGTGTCCCCACGCATTTGGGAGACATCTGCGGGACACGTTGGAAGTTCACAGCGGCTCGTAGCGACGAGCGTGCGCGCGACCGCTTGCTGGCTGGCTTCTCTGGAATCCCTGTTTTAGTTCAGTGTAGGAGCTACCTGGCAAACGGACCGCCCCTTCCAGGGGTCTCCATATGCTTCCGGCGGTCTCCAGGTGCTTCCCGGAAGCTTATGGCGGCCTCCAGGATTCCAGAGTGTTTCCGAGGAGGCCATTGCGCAGCTCCATCGGGATAGGTAGCGCAGAGGGCGAAGCGCTTTTAAATTCGGGCTGGCAGAAGCGCTCTCGCGCGGTTCTTGGAAAATTGGTCCAGCTGTCTGCGGCAAACCCCGCCACCGCACTTGTGCAAGAGCACAGCAGGAAGGATACCAATGGAAAAACAGGGCAATCCCGACGACTTGTCAGAGCTGGGACGGGTCGTGAACTTCACTTCAACTTCGTTCGCACGTTATGGGGAGTTCAACTTCGAACGCTGCGAGCGGTATTAACTGAGACGGGTCGTGACTTGGACCCCATCTTCGTCTGCGCATTGGGAGGAGGAAGCGGATGAGAGGAGGAAGGGGAGCATGAGGAGAAGGCCTCGTAGTGGCCGTCTAGGGGCCTCCTGAGAGCCTCCTGGGGGCATTTTTGGGGTTTCGTGGAGCCTCGTGGGAGCTTCGTTGGGACCTCTTGAGTTGTATTAGTGAGCTCGTGACCCGTCTGACACCTTCGCAGGCCGTCTTGGGGACCTCTTTGGACAGTCTTGGGACTGTCTTCGGTTGTGTTGGGAGTTTCTTGGGCGATGCTGGGGTTCTCTTGGGCCGAATTATTTTGAACGGAGTTAAACAGGGGACTGGATAGCGAACGCTATATCAGCCGCAATATTGGTTCAAGGCTGCGCAGCCCCAGTTGCTTGTCACACGACAGTGGGACATTGTTGGATCAGTGCATCACACAAGTTCCACGTCTATTAACGATTCTTCTCTCATGTGTTGGTTTGGTTATTACATCTCTTCTTGCTTGCCATCAAAGGATGAGTTATGGGATACCTCGATACGTCGCCGACGTTTTCCTAATATTAGGGCGATCAGCTGATTACCTCATGGTCGAGCCCTTGACTCCTGCTTTTCCACTTGATAGCGAAGCTGGCCTCATCTTTGCGTGTATGGCTCTTTCCTTTGGTTTTATGTACATTACATTTTACCACGGCGCAGTGGAATACCCGACTGCGCCGGTTATCAGCCACTACGCCCCCAATGCTCTTCAACCAAGTGGCAACTTATTTTCTTATACCTCCATCTCCCCACCGCGTGGCCACACGCCATACACCGATCAACTACCCACACCCCTCCGCAAACTGACGGCCACGTCAGACCAGGTACCCAGTTGCAACTCTACATACGCGACAAAACCAACGATACGAAACCTGACATCACCAGCTACACTATGACCATGTATTATATCAAGGTTGCTTTATTTCGGATTGTATGGGTATGCCTAGCTCCCGCCGTGGGATACGTGCAAGGAGGAATGGATGAAACACGCGCGCGGGGCCCCTCTCTGGGACACCGCTGCTAACGCACCCTTCCGCGATTTTGCTAATGAAGTACATGCGTGGCTTCTCGTCACGAGCGGAAACATGACTCCACCCCAGCTGGCGACTGCACTAAAAGGGCGGCTTGGGGGGCTTAGCTAGGGCATTAGCTATGTGGGTGAAGTCTACCATCATCCACTACTGTGTCACCGCTCAGGTCAGACGCACCAACGGAGTCACATGCATCATGCACCTACTGAGCACCCAATTTGAAAACCTTGACGATGAGCAACAGCTCGCCTCGAGGACTGACTTCAGGATCGAGAGGGGTGAACGCCGTGATTCAGCACTGGCCCGATTCGACATGGCCAGACGTGGAGGCGGAGTCAGCAGACTTTGACATACCCACCTTCCAGATCCTGGCGTTTCTTTTCTCTCGTGCGCTGGGCGTTGGTACCTCCCGAGCAGCACAGGTACTGCAACCGCTCAACCACCAGATGCCGCGCACCCAGCAACAATATGATCAACTCCCGGAGCGCATGCGAAGCCATGGACACTTGGCTGAGCGCTTCCCAGGAAACATCGGTAGCATCTACAGCGGACGCAACGCTGGCACCTACCACGCCAAAGTAAACGACACACCGGCAGCCATGCCTGACAGCATTTGGAATGACGGAGAGCCCACTGAAACCGCAACGCTTTTGGGCCAAGAATTCAACGACGCACAGGCTTCCCGCTCACATATTGGCTGGCCATTGACTACCATCTAGACACCATCTGACGTGACCACCTTGTGGGCTCCCCCAGCCAACGAGACGAACAAGCTTCCGACTCTGGCGCGGATGCCGACGCGGTCTCTTCAACCAGTGCCGAACACCTCGACTGGTCAGATCTACCCGACAGTGATGATGCAGCGACGCAGTACATATACCTCGGATATCACCGCGCCGAAAAATGGTGGGGGCGACGTACGAAGGAACCATGTTGGATATCTTTGGCGAGTCGCACGTCGCGTCTTCTGTCGTGAGGGCGAGGGTCCGGAAGGGTGGTGGGCGCACCCGCAGATTGCACAATAGAGGCATAGCTTTGTTTCTTGCCAGGCTAAAAAGAACATATGATTGTGAACACCTGTTCCGTAGAGGTAAAGGTAGAGGTGGAGGTCGTAGGCGCGCCGCTGCCACATGGAAGGGGCGCAGGCTCAGCCCGGTCGAAAAAATGGGCACACGCGCGACATGCAACACCTGCGGAAGCGATGCGCAGTTTCAGGCACAGCGCCCCACGGGATGTGGGCGGGGGGCGGATCTGTATTTTTCGGCTCAGAACAACCCGAAGTGGACGTAATTCAATGCGTCGGTTTTCCCAAAATAATCGATTACCCCCTCCAGGCCCAGACCAGTTCTTCTTGGATTCGGGCGGCTCGCTTCGCCGAGGCCGCCATGCCGATCGAGCGCTGCGCAGAGTGCCTGCGCGACGGGATCGAGGATCTTCGACGTGCCCTTCGAGGACTGGGCGGGCTCGCCATGGCGCGGACATGTGCGCTGCGATTCGGGCGACGACGACGATGGCGACTGCGTGTCCGACGCGGAGGCCATGCCTGCCGCTGACGCTGCAATTTTGAAACGACAGCTTGGACGCGGGCAGGGGGGGGCCCAAGCCGCCCCCAACGCCGACAGCGTTTGGTCTCGCGGAGGAGGAACGGGCTGCCGTGAGCGGGGGCGGACCGACGCCCGCGCATTCGCGATGCGGGGTAGGCCAGGGCAGACCCCCACGGGGCGGGGCGGCCCCTGCGAAGGCCGCAAGCGCAGCGGGCGCCGAGGCCGCAGCGCAGCGCTGCAGCTTGCACTGCGGCAGGCGCTCTTGGGAAATCTGGCAAGCAGGGCCCGGGCGCGGGCGGCCCCGGCCGAGGCCGCAGTCATTCGCGCGCGGTGGGCCCTTCGAAGGGCAATGGCCATGCTCGGCGCGCGGGCCCCGCGCGCGGTGCAAGCTCCAGCGAGTCGGGCCGGGGGGGGGTCGCTCGTCCTCCGGGAAGTGGCGCGCTTCTGTCTCCCGTGACGAACGGGGGCCGCGCGCGTGGATGGGCGACGCAGGCGCGGCGCGCTCTCTCGACCGCGGCTGCGCCCGCGGGGGCCAAGGCTGGGGCTGCCGCCGAGGGCGACGGCTGGTTCGCGCAGCCCTGCTGGCGCCAGGCTCGCCGCATGCGCGGGGCGCGGCTTGCGCGGCCTCGGGGGGCAGCGGCCGCGGCTGCGCCGAGGTGGCCCAGGGCAGCGCCGAGCGCCCTGGGGGCAGCGGCAGCCCTGCCAGCGAGGTCCAGGGCATCATCGTCTCCATTGAACGCCTCGAGGGCCTGCGCGACGATCCCCCGCTGGGGGCGTCGGCCAGCTTCGGCGCGGAGATCGAGGCCCAGCTGGTCAGCGGGCGAGGCGAGCTAGAGGAGGCCCGAGCAGCAGCAGAGGAGGTCAAGTCGGCCGCGCCGCACTGCGCAGGGGGGCCAAGGCGGTGGGCAAGGCCGAGAAGCGCCTCAGCACGGCCCGCAAGGCCATCGTGGCCAAGCATTTGGCACGATGGGGATCTCGTCGAGCAGCTCGCGGCCCTCGACGGCGAGCTGGAGGGGGGCGAGGAGTTCCGCCGCCTGGGGGCCGACGCCCTCGCAGCTGCGGAGGATCGGGCGGAGGCGCCGGGCGGCCGAGCTCGCCGAGCGCAGCCGCGCGCCTGGTCTCCTCGCGCAGCTCCGCGGACTGCAGGTCGCGCAGCGCGCCGGCAAGTTCGAGCGCGCGTGGGCCGAGATCGAGAAGCAGACTGCGGTGGTGGGCGCGCAGCGCTTGGGGGCCAGCACCCCGCCGCGCGATGCCTCGGCGGAGAGCTGCCCCATCGATGAGCTGGGCGCCAGCGAGTACGAGGCCCCCGTGGCCTCGGCCCAGGTCGCGCGTCGCCGAGGCGGCCATGCGCCCTGCCACTTAGGCTGAGCGGTCTTCTGCTCGCCCTGCCCCTGCAAGCGAGGGCGGCGGCGGCGGCGGCGCGGGGGCCGCGGCAGCGGGAAAGCCATGCCTTTGACCCGAGGGGGGTCGGCCAGGTGGACCGCCCCCCAGGCCCGCCTTGGCCGGGTTCTTGCGTGCTCGTTGGGGGCTCTTGGGAGGTCCCTCGGGGGTCTATGAGAAGCAGTTGTGCCTCTGGGATGCCGAGTTGTGGTCTCTTGGGGCCTCCGTCAGGCCTCTTGGGGGCCTCTTGGGGCCTCCTGGGCGTTTGATGGTGCCTCTTGGGGCAGAAAGCTGACATGTTCGGTTCGTGGTCCCCTTCTTGGACCCTTCATAAGGCAATCTGGGGGGCCTACTTGGGCCGTCTTGCACGCCTCTGCGGCGATCTTGGGGCTCTATTGGGCCGTCTTGGCGCTCGATTTGAGGCCTCGTGGGCCATGTCGGGGCGGTCTTGGAGGCCTCTTGGGCCGTCTTGGAGCGTCGGAAAGCCGAAAAGGCCAACAACCTTCAGAAGCTGGAAGAAAGTCAATGAATTGTTGGGACCCTCTTGGGCACCAACAAGACATGCGAGAAGATGTTTCGGAGCCCTGGGGAACGCGCCAAGCCCAATAATATTTGAAAATTGGGGGTCCGGGCGCCTGAGCAATCCTCAAGAGTGAGGATTGAGGCTATGGGGCGAGGCACAGGACCTGAGGGCACGCCCACTCCGTGCCCAGCGGCACGGTGGCGGAGTCGATCAAAAGAAGGGTGTCAGCTCCCCCGTCGCGGCACTCTTGAGGTGGTCTTAGGGGCCGTCTTGGAGCCATCTTAGGCCTTACGAGCCAACCGGAAGCGAAAAGGCGAGAATGAACAACACATTGAAAACCATAATGAGTTTGACGGATTTTGGCCTCTTGGGGGGGTCCTTGGGGATGGGATCTCTGTGGCATTTTGAGTCGTTGCGGGACGGTCAGGGCAAGCCGGAAGCTGTGGTAAACCATCTTAGGTTATCCTGTGCGATTCGGGAGGCCATCTTGGACACTCGAACCCCTCGGGGCGCCCAACCTCCAGACCCAGGGAGAGCGGATAGGAGGAAAGGTAAACTTCACCCAGAGAGGAAAAAGGAGGCTTGAACAAGTAACTCATGCACTCAGAAATCATGTGCGCCCAAGGGGCTGGTAGGATTTTCAGGGGAGGCGGTGGGGGGAGGGGGGGGGGCTTTGAGGGTGGCGGGCGCGGGCGCTGATGTTCGACCCTGCGCCACACAGGTGGAGGAGGCCCTGCTGCGTGCGAACCCGGAGGCGCTGGGCGCCGCAGCTCTTCAGGTCACGTCGGGGGACAAGTCGACGCTGCGAAGCGGCCATTCCCCCCCAGCATCCAGCAGAGTGACCCTCCCGCAGTCGAAGACAGGAGGAGGAGGAGGAGGAGGAGTCAGAGCATGATCGGGAGGTGGAGGAAGGGATTCCCTTGAAGAGACTGGGGGAACCAAGAGGGAAGATGAAGACGAGCACGAAGAAGATAGGAGGGTAAATGGGGCGGTGAGAGGAGAGCGGGGGGGAGCAGGACGACCAGAGCAGGATAGTTGGACGAAGGTTCAGGCGGAGGAGGAGAGCTGGATAAAATTGTACACAAGGTTAGGGGCGCCCAGAATCCCTCAGAACTCCTTCGAACCAACGACCCCACCACCTCCCCCTCCCAACAATCAAACGAACCTCCTAGTCCATTTCTTCCCCCTTCTAACAGGAAGTCTGGGGTGCAGCCCAACAGGAGAGGGTCTATCCAAGCACCCTGGATTGTAAAGCGTACCCCCGAGTAACCTTTGAGAGTTGATTTTCCCGGGCCAAGACAGAGCTGGTCGGGGGAAGGGGCGGCGAGGCCGAACGTCATTATCGCCGGGGAAAGCACGACGAAGTAGCGATCCTCTTATGTTGAGTAGCAACACTATCACGATCGTGTGGCAGGGTTATGGGATTCTCAGCATTTCAGCTTTCGAACGTGTGGCAGAGCTGTGGGATTCTCACCATTTCAGCTTTCCAATCTCACGAACGTGTGGCAGGACCATGGAAATCTCATCATTACAGCTTTCCCAAGTCACGAACGCGTGGCAGGCCAATGGGATTCTGACCAGTTCAGCATTCCCAAATCAGAACGTGTGCTCCTCCGATCCCTCTAGTGAGGCCGCGCCAGAGCGAGCGGGATATCGCTACGCCATACTAAAAGACCATCGTGCACACGAGTTGGCGGGAAACAAAATATGATTCCCCCGAGCCCTGAACTTTCTCATCCCCACCCTGTGATGATCAGGGGTGCCGGGTTAAGTGATTCCAGGGCTCGCCTTTCAGCGGGCGGAATGCGACTGAAAGGCGGCGACTGCTGCACCACGGGGTAACCACTGCTCCCTCTCACCACTTCTCATCCGTCCTCGCTCCTCAGTCCTTCCTGCCCACTCCCCTCTTTCTTTTCCGCCCTCACTTCTCGTTCCTTCCTCGATATGTCTTCCCTACTCCCTCGGTTTTTTTCCAGGGCAATGGGTTGCTACTCCCTCCTCCCCCTTTCCAGACCTCATATTTCTGCGGGCGAGCGGTTGCTCGAAAACGCAGTCGTGGATAGGTCCCGGGCAGTCCATGCCTATGAAGTTTTCGAGGGGTATCGCCCTTGCGGAAGTGAGACCCGATCCTCCCCTTTTCTTTTCCTGGACGCTGACCGTCCTTTTCCGACGCCCGATCCAGGGGCCCGACGGCAAGCTGTTCTGCGTGGTGGCTTGCCCGATGGAGCCAAGGCCGCGTCCAGCTGCTCAGCTTTCTCTGGGGCACTTGGCAGCCTTCGAGCTGATGCATGGGCCTCGCAGACGGGCGAGCTCCTGTAGCTCCAGCGCCCCTGGGAACAAAAACCATGGCGACAGTTTCTGTATGCGTTCGGGCCCTCGGCCCGTTTTGGAAAGAGCGCCAGTGGATCGCCTCGTAATTGAAAAGGGGGGGGGGCTCACAGAACCCCCCTCCCCCCTTCAAGGGGGTGGGGGGACATTTTCGGACCCCCCCCCCTTGGCGCTGGAGTCCGGGGGGGGGCGATTTCGGACCCCCCCCCCTTCCCCCCTTTAGCCAGCCAAGGGGGGGGCAGGCGGGGAGGCTCTCTCCGCTCCGGAGCGCTGGAGGCTGGTGGCAAGGTTGTGGTTATGGTAGAGGTTATGGTTAGGGTAGGGGTTAGGGTAGTGTTGAGGGGATAGGGTTAGGGCTCAGGGTTCATATCAGAGATTTGGGTTACGGTTAGGGGTTAGCGTAATGATTAAGGGTTAGGGTTAGGACAGGGTTAGGGGTTAGGGATTAGGGTCAGGGTCAGGGGTGGGGCTAGGGGTTAGGGGTCAGGTCAGGGTTTAGGGTAGGGGTTAGGGTTAAGTTTAGGGGTTAGGGTAGGGGTTAGGTAAGGGTTGGGGGTTAGGGTTAGTTAGACCTTAGGGGAAGGGTTAGGGATTAGGGTCAGGGTTAGGGGTTAGGGTAGCGTTTAGGGGTTAGGGCTAGTTTCTAGGATTCGGGTCAGGGATTCGGGTTACGGTTAGGGGCTCGGGTTAGGCGTAAGGGGTAGGGTTCAGGTGTAGGGTAGGGGTTAGGGTTAGGGTGAGGGTATTCGGGCTTAGGGGTTAGGGTTGAGGTGGAGGTTAGGGCTAGGGTAGGGGTTAGGGTTAGGGGTTAGGGGTCAGGGTTAGGGTTTGGGGTTGGGGTAAGGGTTAGGGTTTTGGGTTAGGGTAGGGGTCAAGGGTAGCGGTTAGGGTTGGGATTAGGGGTTAGGGTTAGGGTTTAGGCTTAAGGTTCGGGGGTAAGGTTAGGGTTAGGGGTTTGGGGTGAGGCTTTAGGGTTGAGGTTACGGTAGGATTAGGGTAGGGGTTAGGGTTAGGATTTGGGGTTAGGTCTCGGTTAGGGTTTAGGGTAGAGGTTAGTGTTAGGGGTTTGGGTAGGGGTTAAGGTCAAGTTAGCCAGCTCGAACGAGCCAGAGGGCTCCGTCCACTCCCACCCGCCCTCCCACAACATGAGAAGCAAGTGCGTCGCGTCCGACGCCTGTCGCTCATCTTATATCGCGGGCGGGTAGACGCTCAGCGCGCGACATGAGCTGCGTCCTGTTCCTGCTGCGTATTGACCAACGTCGACGAGAAGCAAGACCGCGCGCGATGTACGCCGTGCCCCGCTCCAGCCTCTCATGTTGCATCGTCGGCGACAAAATGTCCAGCGCGCGAAGTGCGCCGCGTCTCATTCCAGCCACGCGTGTTGCACCGCCAATCGTTTCGCTCCTGTCGCGCATGGAGGAGGAGGAGGAGGAGGAGGAGGAGGAGGAGGAGGAGGGGGAGGGGAGGAGGAGGAGGAGGAGGAGGAGGAGGAGGAGGAGGAGGAGGAAGAGAGGGAGGGAGGGATAAACTGAGGAGGAAGAGGAGAATGCCTCTTGGGAATTCGCGGGGCGTCCTGGGAGCTTTCTGGTATACGCCTGAGGGCCTCTTGGATATATCTTCCGGGTTGGAACATGGTCAACACAAGTAGGCGTTAACCTTACAGTCCTTCAAACACCAAGTGTACACCAATATTTGTGTTGCCCCCCCAGGACCTCCTGTACGTTTTTGTTCGACCACTTGGGTGTATCCTGGGGCACTTGCTTGAAAGGCGCTTGCTCGAGGCATTAAGACTTTGCGTGTCTTTTGTTGTGCCCGGGAGTCAGGCACAGTGCCGCTTGCAGTGTATAGTAAAGTTGTTAGAATCTATCCTTCGCTTGTGGAAATCGCCCCATGTCGCGTACAGTTGTGCGAAGAGGGCCACGGCATCTCGGTTAGCTTGGAAGCTTTGCGCGAGCATCTGCAGGTTCTCGCTGGCCGCTTGGTGGCTGAGCGCAGTGATGCCGAGTCGTCTGAGGACGACGTTTGGGACCATCCTGTCGACCCCCATTCTTTGCAAGCCGGTTCCGTCGGAACCAACCTCTCGAGACAGTTGAAAGCCTTGTTGCCGACGCATCGGCATAGTTTCAGTGTCATTTGGGACGAGTCTCACGCTGAATTCGCCGATGACGTTGACCGCATCTCCGAGCTCATTCTCGAAGAGGGTCGGCGCCGCCAGGGGCGTCCCAGAGGTGAGTCAGCAGCAGCGGATCGCATACTTTCGTCGTGTCGCTTGGATCTGTCGTCGTGCCGGGAACGCCTGACTGACCAAGAAGTGTTGGGGATCATTTTGGGCATCCGCTCTGGTAAGCACCCTGGGCCGGACGGCGTGCCAGGGGTCGCATACAAGAGAGCGGGAAAATGGTTGCTCCCTGTTTTCCACGAGACTCTGGAAGATCTGAAAGCCGGCACGGCGACCGCCAGCTTCCTCGACGCTTCTTGGGTGCCCATCGGGAAGGTGCCCAACCCCACCCATTTGTCCCACCTCCGCGATTTGGAATTGCCGAACGAGAGCAAGAAAGTGGTTTCCCGTATGGTCTCCATTCTGCTCGACGAAGCTTCGGCGGGATCCTTGCACGCTGCGCAGCAGGCCTTTGCGCGCAAGCGGGACATCGTACGAAATGTCGTGGGCCTCAACGAGGTGTATTACTCAGCCGTGGAAACGGGTGTCTTGAAGGCAATAGTACGCACTGATTGTTCCAAAGGGTACAACATGATGGGGTTGGCTTACGTCCGACGAGTTATCGACCCTGCGTGACAACGAATGTCACGGGATGCTCGTCGCAGCTCGTCTTTCGAGGGCGGGTTTTCGGGGTGATCGCCTTGGAATGCGGCCTCCGCCAGGGAGATCCGGTATCCTGCTTCTTGTACATCATTGCCGTGGATCCGTTTTTTTTGGTTTTGCAAAACTGCCCTGGCGTAGGCATGCTGTTTGGATTTTGCGACGACTGGCAAGTGGAGGTCGAGCTAATCAGCGCCATCCCCAACATTCAGAATGTGTTCGATGACTTCCAGGCGGCGTCAGGGCAGGTGGTCAACGAAGCCAAGAGTGGTTTCCTTGTCACCAGGGAGGTCAGTGAGGAAGAACTGACCGCCATCAAGGCCAATTGGGCGGAGTGCCGGGTGGTATCTCGCAAACGCTCGTTCGGCATCTTGATTGGCGTCGGCGTCACTCCCGAAGAAGTCTGCCGCGATCTGGAATAGCGCCTGGCGGTTCGGCTGGAGGCATACAGAGGCGCCGCCATGTCGAAGGTGGCCAAGATTTTCGCGACCAGCACCTTCTGTTACCCACTGTTTTCTTACGTGTGGCGCGTGCTTTTCGTCCCAGAACAGACGAGAAGCAGAGTGGAAAAGGCAGTGCGGCAGTTCGTCTTAGCAGTCCCAACGGTGAAGCTCTTGGCTCTGTCGCATGTCCAGCGGATGTTCGGCATACGCGCAGAGCTCCACGATTTCCGGCTGCGGAACGTCGTGGGCCTCATTGGCGCCGCAGTCAAGTTGGAGACTTTCGACGCGGGGCAGATACCTCTTAGCGGAGACATCGGGCATGCTGGGCATCCAATGCGCATGTGGAGACATTACAGACGTGCTTTCTGCTTTTTCCGCAACGCCACCGGGACCACGGCGCACGCCGTTACGACGCCATCTGGCGCCGGCACGGGCGCGGCCGCCAGGGCGCTGTATCGGCGGTTGATTGCCGCGGAAGCTGACGCCGTGGAAGGGCACGTTCGTCGCCGGCTGCGGGACCGCGGCATTCGCCCGCAGTGCGCCCTGGACAATTTGGCGCGACTCCCAAGCACGATCCCGCAACGCCACAGATGGGCGCTCTTCCAATGGCTCCTCAATGCGCCGCCCACCGCGAGACGCATGCGTTTCCGCGGAGACGTTGGCGCAAACACGTGCCTCTTATGCGGGGGAGGCGAGGACAGCATAGAGCACATGTGCACATGCCCCGTCGTTCACGCTGCATACGAGGCGATTTGCAGTAGCACGGGCGTGATGGATGAATGGCGCGACTCATATGCTTTCTTGAGCCTGCAGCTGCACGGTGCCCAGTTGCAGTCCATCGCCGCTTTGCTTTTCGCTGTGGGCAGGGCTCGTTGGGCAATGCGCAGAGGGCGCCGTTTTGACCTCGTGCAGCGTCTCCTGCGCCTGGTGGAGCACCCGTGGCTCAGCGGTTCGGAGGGCGCTCATTGCAGACAAGAACGCCGAGCGCGCCGAGCGCGACGGCCACCCGAGGACGAGCACGCGGTCACCTGCAGATCCGACGGGGCTGCCCGGGGCCAAGCCGAGCGGGCGACGGGCTCGTCAGCAGCAGCTTCGGCGCCGTTCGCCTCCGGGATGGGGCAGTGCAGGGGCGCGTCGGCAGTGTCTTTCCGGCGTGCAGCAACAGCGCGGCGGAGTACGGGGGCATGCTCAGCTGCTTCCGGGACGCGTTGCAACGGCCCGACGCGGCGGTCACGTTCCAGGTTGACTCCTTGCTGCTGGCACGTCAGTGCAATATGGAGTGGCGATGCCGGTCGCCGTCGCTCATCCCACATTGGGAGCAGGAAGCGGACCTGTTACGCAGGCTCCGCGATAGGGGCACGGCGTGCACCATTCGTCACATCTACCGAGAATGCAACGCACTTGCTGACAGCATCGCCAATGAGGTTGTCAACAACGGCCAAGACATCACGGAACATTTGTTTATGTGAGAGATACTGGGACACGCAATGATTCTTCGGATTGGTTGGAAGCCAAACGGAATTATATAGAGTACAGGAACCACCGGCCATCATTGTCATGCAGTGCGGATATTCTTGGTTACGACGGCAGGCTTGGACACGACAGCATGTATTCGGTACGCATTTGAGCAAACCTGAGGAACTGGCAGCATGCATTCGGCACGCCGGCATTTGAGCAAACCTGAGGAACCTGAGCAAACCTGAGGAACTGGGGGCACCACCAACAACAAATATGAGGCATTAAGACTTGCCGCCAGCCCAGCTCCTCAACCCGACGGGCCGCGTCGTCGACGACAAGAATGTCCATGCTGACGAGCAGGCGCCCCCCAGCGATCTGCGCCGCGTCCCGTTCCCTCTGCGCGATTCGCAGCGCCGACGAGGACAATGTGCATTTGGCAAGAAAAACGTCGACGTGGCTGTGTTTTTTGACAGGTAGGACGGGGGGTCCCGCGTAGGGTGGGCCAGGCGTCCGCGCGCGATGTGCGCCGCGTCCCGTTATTGCTACGCTTTTCGCAGCGTCGATGACAAGAAAGTCCATGTTCACGTGACCAAGCCTTGACTTTGTATTTTTTTAGATGGGTAGGACGCGACCGCCCGCTTAGGGCTTCCCAAGTTATGTTCATTCCGTTTCATTCCTGCTACAAGCTTCGCAGTGCGACGACATGTTGGCGAGAAAAAAGTTAAGTTCGTGCTGTTTGTTGAAAGTTCGGACGGCGGGGTTGCTATCGGCCGGCCAGGTGGGGGCGTGGGGGCGTTTAATTATGAAAAGTAAGGATTGAGGTTCGGGTTAGGGTAGGGTTTAAGGGGTTTGGGTTGGGGCTTCGGGTTAATATTAGGGAATGGGGTTACGGCTAGGGGCCAAGCTAGCCAGCTCGAGCGAGTCAAGCACGGCATGCCCATTCCCACCCGCCCTCCCACAACGTAAGAAACAGTGATGGCACAACTGGGGGCGGCGCGGGCATTTCAGTGCGAGTGGAGGATGCCCCTCGAGGCTTCGGGCTTCGAGGCCCCTCCCAGTTCGGGCTGCGAGGCTCCTCGGGAGCTCTCGCGGCTCTTGGGCCCGCATCCCCGACGATGAGATTTTCTCCGTGCTGGCGTTTTTCCTGCGAGTTCGCACGTTTTTCCTCCGACTTCGCCCTCCAGGGAACGGTTTCTGCCCCCCCCGGACCAATGGGAAAATATCCAGGACGCAAAACTGCCCCCGAGAAAGGGGTCGAGACGGCAGAAAGGCTTGGGGCAAATTCGCCGGCACAACGGGCCAGAGGCGTGCAAAGATCTCCGGTAACTAGTTAACGATATTTTAGTTCGCGCGCGCAGGGCGACCCTTGGGGGCCTCCGGACGACAAGTGCCCCGAGCAGGTCCCGGGCCAGCCCGGCGGGCCAGAGGCGTGCTAAGATCTCCGGTAACAAGTTAACAATATTCTAGTTCGCGCGCGCGGGGCGGCCCTTGGGGGCCCCCGGACGAAAAGAACCCCGAGCAGGTCCTGGGCGCGTCGGTCCCAGCGATGGTTTTCTTCTTCGGCGCTGACTTCCAGGTCCCAGAGCGCCCCAGGAACGCCCCAAGAGGGCCGAGACGCCCCCGAGGCGATCCGAGGGGCCCTGAGTCGCCGAAAGATCGTTCCGAAACGCCCAAGATGGCCTCCAGACGGCCGAAGACGCCGCCAAGAAACCGCGGGGAGCCTCAGGAGGCCCTCCAAGAGCCTGAACAAGCAAAAACCTCCCAGGCATTCGTCACCCCAGGGCCTCCTGGAAGGCCCCGGCGCCCGATGAATTGGCGAGCTAAAAACGCGCTCCGAGCCAAAGCGGGGGCGCAACTTTGAGAAAACTTGCCCAACTCCTGCCGCGCACTTTTGCGGGGTGGACGACAAGGACATCGATGTGGGCAAGGAAAATCAGCATGGCATTGCTTCTGACAAGTAAGGTGGCCCCTCCCGCCTTGGGGTTGCCCCAGAAGTCCGCGCGCGACGCGCGCCGCGCCCCATTCCTGCCACGCATTTCGCATCGTCGACGACAAGACAGGCCATGGTGAAAGGAAAAACGGCAACTCTGTATTGTTTTTTTTACAATCAGGATGGGAGGGCCCGCAGCCCGCATGGACGTCCGCGCGCGATGTGCGCAGCGCCCCACTCCTGCCACATATGTCGCACCGTCGGCGACAAGGCAGGCCATGTTGAGAGGAAAAAACGAAAACTTGGTATTGATTTTTTCCAGTCTGGATGGGCGGGCCCGGATTGACGGCCGCGCGCGATGCGCGCCGTGTCCCATATGTGCGCCGCGCCCCACTGTTGCCGCATATTTCGCACCGCCGGCGACAAGGCAGGCCACGCTGATATGAAAAAACGAAGACTTGATATTGATTTTTTATGGTCGGGATGGGCAGGCCCAGATTGACTGCCGCGCGCGATGTGCGCCGCGCCCCATTCCTGCCGCGCTTTCCGCATCGTCGACGACAAGAAAGACGATGTTAAGAAGAAGAACGGCAACTGTGTATTTATTTTTTTATAGTCCGGATGGGAGGTCCCGGATCGGGTTGCTATCGGCCGGAATACGAGGTAAGTGTGGGTATATAATAATAAGGAACAAGGATTTGGGTAGAGTTTAGGGGTTAGGGTCAGGGCACAGGGCTGGGATTAAGGATGAGGGTCATGGTTATGGGTGGGGGCGGGGGTTAGGGGTTCGATTAGGGTTAGGGTTTAAGGTCGGGGTTAGGGCTAAGGTTAGGGGTTAGTGCAGGGGTTAGGGCAGGGCTGGGGGTTAGGGTTGGGGGCTTAGGGTAAGTGTTAGGGTTTATGGTGAGTTAGAGTAGGTCTAGGGGTCAGGGCTAGGTCGTGAAATATGGCAATTTGGGTTGGGGGCCAGACTTAAGGGTACGGGGTAGGGTTCGGGTTAGGTGTAGGGGTTAGGGTTAGGGTCGGGGTCCGGATCAGGGGTTAAGGTAAAGGTTAGGGTTCGGGTAGGAATTCAGGTTTAGGTTTAGGGCTTAGGGTAGGGCTTAGGGTGGGGATTAGGGTTTGAATTACGGGTTTGGGTCGGGGCTAGGGTCAAGTTAGCCAGCTCGAACGAGCCAGAGGGCTCCGTCCACTCCCACCCGCCTTCCCACAACATGAGAAGCATGTGCGTCGCGTCCGACGCCTGTCGCTCATCTTATATCGCGGGCGGGTAGACGTTCAGCGCGCGACATGAGCTGCGTCCTGTGCCTGCCGCGCAATGACCAACGTCGACGAGAAACAAGACCGCGCGCGATGTACGCCGCGCCCCGCTCCGGCCTCTCATGTTGCATCGTCGGCGACAATATGTCCAGCGCGCGAAGTGCGTCGCGTCTCATTCCAGCCACGCGCGCTGCACCGCCAATCGTTTCGCTCCTGTCGCGAGGAGGAGGAGGAGGGGGAGGAGGAAGGTTTGGGCTCCAAAGCCCGGCAATCACCGATCCCACATTTTGGTGTGATTGGCCAGGCGCAGCTCGGACCTCAGGCGCGTACGCCGCGAATTCTTCTCCTGTGCACTCGTGCCATCACGGCAGGCCGCCGCGAAGTTCCAGAGCCAGCCTGGCACGCGCGACTACGTCAGCAGCGTGCAAGGGCACGCTTATTGCTACGACTTGCTCAGGCGACAAGCATACTACGGAGACATCATTCAGCCCAGAAGATGAGTTCCCATTGGGCATGCAGCAAATGCAAGAAGAACATCCCCAATCACAAATGGTTCTGTACATGTGGCAACACATGGGGAGACAAAGCAGCCGGGCCCAGATCCAAAGGCAGAAGGTGGGGCATTCCTGTCAACTCCCAGCAGGTATCGAAGGCGCAACAGCTGGAGCTAGGAAGAATTGCAGGCAAGATTCTCCAGGCCGCTCCAGAGGCAGCGCACAATCGCCCGAAGTATTCTCAGCCGCCAGAATCACCATATCTCCAGCCATTGTTCAGGGCAGAAATGAAGAACAAACTCACGTCGCTAGCAGCCCTCATCAAAGCCGGCCGTTATGCAGGAGAAGAAGATCCGATAGCCGCGGAAGAGATCGCTGTATACAAGTTCATGGCCGCTCAAATGGAGCCCCTCGACAAACAGATCGCAGGTGTCAAAATTATGATCGAAAAGGAGGCCGCCAGAGCAGCCGAGGTGCAGAAGAGGATGACAGAGCTGCGAGAGGAGGCCGACGCACTCTTGTACGATGCAGAATCTTTCAAACAGACTTTGGAGCAGCTCAGCCAGGAGAAGGAGACGGAGAAGGACGCGGGCATGGGCGAGGCTCCAAACCCACCTATAGGCGCCAGGCCGCCAATGGTCGGGTCAGCTTCTATGCCTTTCTGCTCAGCATCTGCTTCCGCAGCGCCCAGGCAGCCAGTCCTCAACGCGGTCCAGAGCATCCAGCAGCGCCAGCGGGCCCAGGACGACATGATCAAATACATGTTGGAGCATATGGCATACAACAGTTCAATGCTGGCAGCTTTGCAGTAGCAGTACCAACACCCGCCGCAGTCTGTGGGGTTTACTATGAGCACGGAGGCACCGCTCTCACCAACAGCGGTTGCGTCGTCGCCTCCCTTTGCGCCGGCCTCCCCCGCAGCCCCAACAGGGCCAGGATCGCCGACATCGCAGGTCCTAGCAATGGAATGGCCACCATCAAAGGGAAAAGATAAAAAGTTCCGATGCTGGCAGTCCTTATCCCACGGAGACCCCGCCGCCCACGGCGATGCAGATGGCAATGATCAGCCCCGCGCAGGAGATGACGCAGGACATCGAGCACATACCAGGACCGACGGGTACACACCCTGGTGCTCCCTCACTACAGGCGGTGGAAGCCATGGCAGCAGCATATGTGGAACTGGCCAAGTCGCATCCAGAGCTGATCCCATCCGACGGAAGCGATCACGCAACCGATGGCCATGTACCCTCAGACGGCGCCGCAGGCCATGGGCCCACAAAGG